TTATTATTTTTACTGTTATCATTACGTTATTGTATTTATTCTTGTTATTATTATTATTACGGTCGTTATTTTTATAATTGTCATTATGTTATGATTTCATTATTATGTGATGATATTATAATGGCTATAATTATAAATAATTAACGATAATCGCGTTCAAAGAATTAATTCAGACAAATAGTGATATCGTCGTTGTGTGATAATATTGCTCGTCGAGTGGATAGGGTGACAAGTGACGAAGAGATACCGAAAGGTGCATATGAATGTCAACGATTAAAAGTTTGTTGATTTCAGTTTTTTTTTCTTATGTCATTAAGTGAAGGATATGAGCACTCATCACATACCACACAATACGTTCCACAAACCCGTAAGCTTTTTCATAAAATGCTTTCAGCATATCGAATTTTGCAAAAGTAGATTGGCATGCCTGAGCGGAAATCGCATTTTTAGAATAATTTCTTTACGTTACCACAGCGGTGTAGAGAGTTTTTGCAAGATGTGATTCTGTTGTGTGTTTTCCGTTGTATCAAGATTGTTTCATGGAATGCATTTGGTTGTTGAGTGATTTTTAGGATTACGTTTTCATTGATGCGAGTTCGGTGCTTTACAAGGACGAACCTGATTGGATCCTTTATCAAGACATTGTTCAAGTTTGATTTTTATTTAATTTCAGTTTTTGGAATTTCTCTCTTTTAAGAATTATTCATTACTGGAGATAATATTCACTCAGTGACAAAGAATATTCACTTCTGTTGTGAAATAGAACAAAATCGTTATTTCTTTGAATTTCGTTGTTTTGTGTATATTTTCATTGTGAATTACGTTGATGATTGTGAAAAGTGTCGTTCTCTTAAACAGTGCAACGATTTTCCATTAGAATAGCAACGAAACTCGAATACAGAGTCATCGAATTGCAGGTGAACGATAAAAAATGTATGCAGAATATAATGACTGTTGAGAGTGAATGGTTACCCAGACTAGCAGAACCTTTCTGTGAATTCAGCACTGTAAAGGATGCTGAGCCAACGTGAGTTTGATTTTCTGGATTCGCTCTGAGATTATTCATGGAAATAGAAATTATTTCTGAAAAAATGAGAAGATCCCGTTAAAGAAATTCTCAATAAATTATTTCTTCCAACAACAATAATTTAATCACAAAACACTTCTTACGTGGAAGTTTTAGAACGATTGAATGATTTTTAATTGAATGATTACATCCACAGATTTGAAACTTGAATTGTGAAAAATTATGTGGTTGAGTAGATAAATCAGAGAATCAGT